CGTCTTCCCTTCTGGTCTCTAGTTCGGCTGCGTCGTAAGTCTCCACTACTTCGGCTTCGATTTGGTTCGGATCCTCTATTGGGTTAGGGCTCTCTAGGGCTTTGTCGTTCAACCGGTCATTCGGAGGTAGTCGTGAGGCAGGTAACCTCAATGGTCTTAACTCGTGGGTCTCTCCAATAGCCATTTCCAACTCGTCGTCTCTAATTTCAGGGTCGTCAAAGAATCCGACCGACCGTGAAGGGGTCGGACGCTTAGGGTGGGAAGCCTCGTTGGATTGCGTGTTCTCCTCTACATACGGCTTCAACATGTTAAAATGCAAATACCGGGTCTTTGCGGGGGTGGAGTGTTTGGCCACCTTGTAATTCACTTCAGAAATTTTGGCCAAGACCGCATAGGGCCCATCCCATGGTAGGAAGAACTTCTTCGACTTTATCTTCTCCTTCGCCCAAACCCACAATTTGTCTCCCGTCGCGTACGGTTCTCCATGAACTCTTTTCCGATATTGATCCTTCTGGCGTCGCTGATTAGTTCCCAGTAGCTCTCGAGCGCTGCTATGGGCGTCTCGGAATTGCTCGTCGAGCCATTCTACAAACCCATACTGTGTCGGAACTTCGTCGTAGGGTTTTGGGTAGAACAGGTCGATTGGGTACTGGCATTCCTGTCCATGTACTAGATTGAAAGGGGTCGCACCGGTTGTTCGGTGGATGGTAGTATTATAGACGAAATTCAAGTAGGGCAATACTGTATCCCATGTCCGGGGGTTGTCCGCGCAGTACTTTGAAATGACATCCGCGATTACCCTATTTCGGCACATTTCGAGGATGAGATTACTCCCAAAGTTCTTCCCTTGATCGGTATGCAGGATGTTCGGTGCCCCAAACTTGAGTACCCAGTTCTCGACTATCTCCCGGGCCACCTCTGCCGAATCCGTGGATACAAGTGGGACGGCAATTGCATACTTCGTGAACAAGTCCGTCATCACTAAGATGTGCTTCGCACGAGACTTTGCTGCCAACGTCACGGGCCCTAGGATGTCCGCCGCCAATGTATTGAATCGGATCCCCACTTTAAACGGGACAAGCCCAGCGACCCTCTTTTTTCCTCCTGTGCTCCGCGCTGCACAAGTGAGGCACCATTGTATCTTCTTCTCCACGTCTGTCCTCATAGTGGGCCACCAGAACCGTTGACGAATTCGAGCGAGGGTCTTTTCAACTGCAAAGTGTCCGCCGCTAATCTGCGAGGAGTGCAGCTGGTTGAGGATCTCCTTCCGCCCGGTTGCAGGAACAATCGTCTGCAATACCGGACGCAAGTCATCCCTTGGGAACCATTTTTTATAAAGCACCCCCCCCCCCTCGGATACTTAGTTCGTTCCATCTAGACCAGTAAGCTAGGGCCTCCGGTCCGTACTGTATCGCCTGCTCTTTGGGAATGAGGTTTGTCCCCAGAGATGGCATATCACCCGCGTCGCCTCCCGACTCCGCCCAATAGAACACCTGAGACATCGCGTCATCCTCTCTTTGCAGAGTCGATATTTCAGAGGGCGTCCGTTCCCAGGTAATCGTTTCTTCCTCGTCCTCTTCCTGGGTCTCGCTGATCATTGTGACAGTTTCGACTTGGTGCTGCACACTTGCTTTCTGTAAGGCCAATTCGAGAGACATGGGCTCTGGGCAAGACCCGAATGCCTTCTCCTTCTCCCCTGGCATCCAGTCGGGCCCTTCTTCTAGCATCCTGGAAAGGCCATCCGCATTTCCATGTTTAGCCCCAGCTCTGTGGACTACATTGAAGTCAAACTCTTGAAGTTGCTGTTGCATTCGGAAGGTCATTCCATCGGGTTCCTTCTGCCTCAAGAGCCATTGAAGGCTGGAGTGGTCGGTGCGAAGGACACATTTTATCCCCCAGATGTAGGGTTTGAACCATTTCACCGCTTGCACCACAGCCAAGGCTTCTCTTTTTGTCGTTGAGTAATTCGTTTCTGTTTTTGATAGTACCCTGCTAGCGTACACAAGTGGTCTCTCCTCCCCGTTGATGACGTTCGAGAGTACAGCGCCCAAGCTGGTATTGCTCGCATCCGTGTCCAATATGAAGGTTCCCGTATAGTCAGGAAATTCCAGAACTGGGGCCGTAATAAGTTCTTTCCGTAGTCTATCGAAGGCTATCTGACATTCGTCGTTCCAGATAAAGGGCACCTTCTTTTTCGTCAAAGAGGACAGGGGACTCGCAATCCCGGCAAAGTCCTTCACAAATCGACGGTAGTAATTGCAGAATCCGAGAAAAGACCTCACCCCCTTAACTGTTTTGGGCACTGGCCAGTTCTCAACCACTTCAACTTTCTTGGGATCCACTTGGATACCTTCATTTCCAATTATGTGGCTCAAATAAGTCACCTCCTTCTGTACCAACCTGCATTTCTTCGGCTTCAGTTTCAAATTTGCCTCCCGTAGTAGCTGGAAGGTAGCCTTCAGGTGTGCAAAATGGTCGTCTTCGCACTTACTATACACCAGCACATCATCGAGGAATACTAGGGCCCCCTTCCACAGGTGGTCCCGAAAAAATTCATTCAAGAGTCGCTGGAACGTTCCTGGAGCATTGGACAGCCCAAAGAGCATCATAACGTACTCATAGAATCCTCCATCCGGTGTCACAAAGGCTGTCTTGTGTCGGTCTTCCTCGGCTACAGGCACTTGCCAATACCCACTCGCCAGGTCGAGGGAAGAGAAGTACTTCTGCCCGTTAAGAGCATCGAACGTTTGATGTATCTTCGGAATCGGAAATGCGTCCTTGACCGTTACATCATTCAGCTTCCGATAATCCACACAGAACCACCAACTCCCGTCTTTCTTCGTTTGCAAGACAATTGGTGCACTATAAGGGCTTTTTGAGGGTTGAATCACCACTTTCTCCAGCATGCTCTTAACTTCGTCCCTGATGATCGGCATTTTTGCGGGAGATGTTCGATGGGGGGAGATCTTGATAAGGGCCGAGTCTCCAGTATCAATCCGATGTGTCACCAATTTAGTTTGGCCAAGTTCGGCATCTGTCAAAGCGAACACATCTCTATAAGTACTGATCAACTGTTTCAGCCGGTCCCTCTCCGTTCCTGTCACTTCGGGAGCGGCCAGTTCCAGAATCTTCTCTATATCTTCATCTAGATGTCGTTTAGCCTGTACCTGAAAGTCCATCGACCCTTCCTCTTGCATTCCCTGCACCTCGTGGTCCTGACTGACGGGGGGCAAACCTTCTACAACATCCCCCATTGCATATGATGACTCGACGTTTGACCCACCAAGAGGAGTGTGTGGTTCGGTTAAGGGGCTACTATGCGACGAGTTTACATCCCAGTAATTATCGTCCTCTGGCGAGTGTTTAGGGTATGAGGTCACCTTCAATATTTCATATTGCAGGGGAACTATAGATCCCTCCTTCCGTCCCGTCCAGAGGTTGTCACACTGGAAATCTAACGAGCATTCATGCTCCTTCAAAGACCGAAGTCCTATGATCATCTCCGCTTTCAGCTCAGGCACCACCAGGGCCTCGACCTCATCGTCGATTGACCCTAGCTCCAAATTAGCCGTCACCCATCCCTCGACTCCCACTTGCCTTCCATCCGCTGTTTCTAGTGTCCCTTTGTAGGGCCGTAACGGTGGGGCTGTAGTCAAATTATGGTACACCTCGCTTCGTATTAGGTTGATCGTAGCTCCCGTATCCACTAGTGCTTTTACCGGTAGCCCGCCCAAAATCGCTTCCGCTATTAGCCCGAATGGCGCTTCGGGCACTCGGCAAACACTCACGAATTCCAAGGAACTCTCTGTCTGACACTGGATACTCGTGAGTTGTTTAGGTTCTTCCGGTCGACTGGGGGTCGTTTGGTGGAATAAAGTCTGAACCTGCTCTGTTCCTCGAAAGCCTTCGCCTCTCATTTGCACCTGAGGGCTCGTCGTGGGGTCCAAGCGGTACATAGAGCGGTTGGAAGTGGCGGATGGGTAATTTACTCGCTGTTGATTCTTTATCTCGGCCGGGACAAAACCTCCCTGATGCATATTCAATGCCCCGGCCCTTGGTAGTTTAAATGATCCGAATTCTTCTGGGGGCACTCCTTCGCAAAATGACCCGGCTGGCCGCAGCCAAAACAGTTCCCACGGGGTATCTGGTTTTTCATTCCGTAACGACCTCCAAGGCCAGGAGATAAGTTCGATCTATTCTCGCCGGGTTGGGGTTCGTATAGTTGTCGGGGTCGTTGGGAAGGTTCCGACCGCGGTAAGTTTTCCGGGTGGGGAACGGGGATGATAGAATTAACAAACCTACCCATCATGGCCGTCATGTTCTGCATCTGAGCTATCAGATCATTCTGGACACTCACCAGTTGGTCGATGCGGGGGTCATTGCTCGCCTGCTGACGTCCCTGACCAGCTCCCACTGGTTGGCTTCGAGGGATCTGTCCGCCTACATTCCGACCAGCCTCAGCACCCGGCTCTGGGACATTTTCGGCAACCCTCGCAAGGTGCAAGTTTCTCCGGTTCCTGGCCCTGGACGTTTTATTCACAAGATCCAAGGCTTGGGCACGGGCAACTGCTTGCGCTAGGCTTCCAAGATCTTCTCGCAGAAGTAGGTCTTGAAGGTCCACGTCAAATAGCCCGTCTATGAACTGTTCTCGGTTCATATCGTCTCGAGCTTGAGCTCCCACATTTCTATTAGCAACATCTCCAAGACCCTGTTTTGGTCAGAAATTCTGCGCCGCAAGCAAAACTTTGAAAAAACGGCCAAAAATGGATACCTCAAAATGGTACAAAGGGGGGACCCTTTGGGTCGGCAGTTAGTCGAATCCCTGGGGGGGAGGGGGCTCCGCCCCCTTCTAAATCCACCCCTGCACTCAACTCTATCCGATGATTTTTTGTGGCACCTGATTTTGTATGGAGTACCAAGTTCCTCCCCATTTTTAAAATGGTCGGAACAGTTAATTAAATGAAACGCCAAAACAAGTAGAAAACTAAATGGCCACTTACGATGACCCATAGTGACAGTTGAGGACAGTCAGTTCCTACTGTGCATGTCCCGTCTGAGACGTCGAATGTCAACAGAGCACTCTTGGTCGCCTCAAAGTTCCAAAATATGCTCATGTTCCAAGGTGCAACTTTCTCCGGTTCCTGGCCCTGGACGTTTTATTCACAAGATCCAAGGCTTGGGCACGGGCAACTGCTTGCGCTAGGCTTCCAAGATCTTCTCGCAGAAGTAGGTCTTGAAGGTCCACGTCAAATAGCCCGTCTATGAACTGTTCTCGGTTCATATCGTCTCGAGCTTGAGCTCCCACATTTCTATTAGCAACATCTCCAAGTGATCGGATTCGCCGAGAGAATTCCCTCAAACCCTCCTTGTCTCCTTGCATCAGACTTTTGAACTCCGCCCTAGCCGCTGCTTGAGTTTGGAAGGGCATCATACGCTGGTCTAGTTCGGCCAGCATCCGTGCAAGTGTTGGCGCTGGGAAACCGTCTTCCTCCCCTCTGAAGTGGGCTGGCATGCTGGTAAATTCATCCAGAGCCCATCCTGTCAGACACGTAGGCAACACCATCCGAGCCTGTTCATCTTCCCATCTGTTAGCATCCGCAACCCAGGCGAAATGCTTCCTCCAGTCGGCCCAGTTTTGATAGCTACTGGAGGGAAACCGATTGGGGCGAATGGTGCCAAAACCAAAGACTCCTTGCTGCCTGTCCAAAGCATTCGCTGCCGCCACAGCAGCCTCTGCCAATGCAGCTCTATCGTCGTTGTTCATCATCGTGTTTGCTCACGGGATGATTGTTCGTTCGTTTGCAACTTCAATCTAGGACAAAGCCCACCCAGGAGCGCCAATGTCGTCTTTAGGAGGATTTTCACACACAGTCTTGCGAAGCTATCCCTTTTACCGTGCTAAAGCAGGGGGGCACTAAGGCTCGGTATTAACGACAATCCCGAAAGGGTTATTTTTAGTGGTGAGTTGTCCTCTACTGTATTCTATTGCTCCCCCTTAGTCAGTGATGCTCTTGCTTGCTATATCTCGCTTGAAGTCGCGTATAACGAATTCCTTTCTCTCAAATGAATTCAATATATATAAGTCTGAATGAATACAAAGGGCCTACTAGTTCGGCCAGCATATAATTTAGTAATATACAACAGAATGGTTTGCGATCTGTACACACTTAACAATTTCTTCTCTGCGTACTCGGTCAGTACACGTGTCGACTAAGCTCTCTGACTTATACTAACTTCTGCTCTAACTAATTTTCCACAAGGCACTTCGACTTGCGTTCTTACTTCACTCGCTGTGAAACAATTAACTGATGAGTTCAGATAGCGACCACAACTGGGACCTACTGAATCTTACGCTCGTTAACTCGTTCTCTTTTTAATCCGCTCTCTAACCTCCACTTCTTCTTATCTCTATTTGTGCTCCGTTTTTGTTAATGTCGTATGATTCTTATCAATTAAATCCCCCCTTCGCTACTTACTTAAATAACATCTGACTTCGGTGTCAAATCTTGACCCAAGCAACAAAGTCATACGACCCCAATAAACTAACCATAACCCGATTTTGAACCAAATTTACTAATATTTTCACTATCATGTTAGGATAAAATGCACAGAAAATACGCTAAGTCGAAAATTTGCTAGAATTACCAATTCTACAGACCAAATTGATTTTTCGACCTCTCCTAAAGCGCTACAAGGACCCTGAAAGACCCTGTTTTGGTCAGAAATTCTGCGCCGCAAGCAAAACTTTGAAAAAACGGCCAAAAATGGATACCTCAAAATGGTACAAAGGGGGGACCCTTTGGGTCGGCAGTTAGTCGAATCCCTGGGGGGGAGGGGGCTCCGCCCCCTTCTAAATCCACCCCTGCACTCAACTCTATCCGATGATTTTTTGTGGCACCTGATTTTGTATGGAGTACCAAGTTCCTCCCCATTTTTAAAATGGTCGGAACAGTTAATTAAATGAAACGCCAAAACAAGTAGAAAACTAAATGGCCACTTACGATGACCCATAGTGACAGTTGAGGACAGTCAGTTCCTACTGTGCATGTCCCGTCTGAGACGTCGAATGTCAACAGAGCACTCTTGGTCGCCTCAAAGTTCCAAAATATGCTCATGTTCCTAAACATAATTAACAACATCAACAAGACTGCTCGTCAATACCAAGCCTGATTAAGTTCAAAACAAAGTACAAACATTTTTAAACTTTTGTTTTTTTACTGCTCGTTTTTCCCTGCACGCATTTTTGAAGTAAGTTATTAACAAGATATTAGGATCAATAACTTGCCTCCAATCAATTTAGAATTTGATTACGAAGTCTGATATATAGAGCGAAATAATTAGACCAAATTCGCCAAAATGGCGAACTTAACACCAGGTTTTGGAAATTTTTATTGCTCAAAATTGACAATTCTTAGACTCAATAACTTGCGAAAAATTTATAGACATAACAACTCAAAACATGATCATAGACAACATTTCTTTACACCTGAGCTCATCGATGAGTGTCAGATAGAAAATTTCCGTCGAAACTGGCAAATTGAATACCAAAAAATTTTTCGACAGAAAATACAACCCACCTACAAATTTTCTGCCCTCTCTTTGGAAGTCGGAACAACGAAAACGCTTCCAAACCACCTGTCAAACTTTTCACCTTTTTTAAATTACGACTTTGGAAGTATCTACAGAATATTTATGCTTGAGGTGGACTTTTTAAAGTCAAAATTCAACTTTTTATATCAGAAAGTTTTGACACAATGTTCATATATCAGAAAAATTTTGCTGTCCGGAGTTTCAATTCATTTTTTTCAGCTGTGATCAATTTTTTCAATAATTGTGAGGGCTTGTAAAATGATAAATACACTTATTTGGGATAGTTAACGCGCAATATATTGTAGTCCTATAACATGCGTAAGCGGCGGATTAAATCGTTTCAAATTTACGACTTTTAAATTGTTGGCTATGTAGTATTGCAAATACTACACGGAAACAAAAGACTATTGTTTTATTTGTTTACATCAGATTAGAGTGGACTCCCTTCCACTTTTAACTTGTCAACCCTTTAAATACTAGTCCGATTTTTTTTATGCTTTCAAGGTTGAATTTTTTTTTAAATATTCAATATTTTTTCAGACTATTTTGTCGGATATCAAAGAAAAAGTGTGTCGCCATACAAGCTGACCTCTCATTTCCACTCGCTCAGCCGAGTTAACATTTTCTGCGAGAATTTCTTTCTTTCTTTTGTTTATTTTCATTTTTGTTTCTGTTTATTTTATATGACCCAATACACTGAGAAGAATTAGGTGGACAAATCAATCAGCAACCTAACGCGGACTACAGGCAAATGAAATGTTAGTTTAAATGTTAAAAACTAGGTATTGACTCCATCCCTATTGGTACTAAAGACAGTTGTTCATTAATTGTTTAAATCATTTATATTTAACTATCCATTATATAAATTCATACTCTTTTATAACTAAATTTTTATACTTTAATTACTATCAAGAAATTTGACAATCTTAGGTGAGACTTATAACTTAGGCTAAATTACTAAGCAATCAGCCAGCAATGATAGCTTAGTTAAGCATAAGCAAATTTTTCAAACAAATTTCATCAAAATTGACAAAATCATCTAGATTGACAAATTTTCATCCATTGACAAATTTTCAAACAGCGACTGAATCAAGACTGTAGGCAATCTCATACGATGAATCATTTAAGTACACGAATTTACTAGAAAAATGTTCTCAAAAAAAATACCTTTCACACAAAGTTCGATTCGTGATCAGCACAAACATATTTCAATGATGAGTTTCAATCAAGTCATCGTTTTGGCCTAGCAAAACTGACAACTCAATAGCTTTTAGATGGGAATTTAGAATAACTTTTAACGGGTAGATGAAAAGCTTATAGAAACCGGTCTTAGTAATCCGCCAAAAGGAAAGAAAACATAGCAGAGCTATGAGGACGGTGACTGATTAGCGTATTCTCGGTACCTGTGTTAAACCGCCCCAATGAACAGATTTGAGTTCATAATTAGAACTTTGAGCCAGTGTTAAGCCGACACTGGCTATCAGAAACAGTCTAAACTGATGTGAGAGTCGGTCAAACATGAGAATGCGGGCAATCTTGACTGGATTAAACTACAGTCAGACAGTGGTGAATGTAATACAATTTCAGGATACTTAAGAAGCTGATTAGTGTCTTGGGTTGTTAAAGCATATGGTACATTGGATAAGGCCCCTTGGACCAAGTCAGTTCAAATAAGTTCTGGGTAAAAGAATGTAGCCGAAGCTTTATTCTGCGATGCTGGATAAGGCTTTTTGACTGATCGAAAGATTAGTTGGGTGACTATTGGTTCCCTCAACGATGTTCCAAATATCATTGATGCGGTATGACTGGTCAAGTGACAACTGGCTAATGATTGGTATGTAGATTCATACAGTTTTCTATGAACAGAAAGGCATTGGGTATGCAGGTGCTTTATTTTTGTCAATTGATTTTGGGTTACACGTGGAGTAGTGGAACACTTTTAGGGCAATTTGTAATTTGTAGTAAGGCTAGCAGCATTCGATCACAATGAAACGGAGTATAGGAAAACAAGTCTAGTTTCTCTTTTGGACGTAATTACGAACGTTTCTTTCCTTTGGCTCAGTTGGTGAGAACGAGAGTCGTCAGCACAGAGTTTCGCTCTTTATTCAGCTGCTTTACAGTTGTTTTTATGTTTCATAATCTAACAGTACCAACAGCATGGCAACACTACGAATGACTCCAAGATGAGGCCTAGAGCTTCTGTTCCAACGATTGAAGAGTGTTCACAACCGTGGTTTAAGACCGATTTTGTAGTCTTTGCGTCGCGCAGAAGATTGGAACCTGATCTAAACTACATTTTATGATTGGATAAATTAGATATTTTACCAATGTAAAGTATTTAATATTAACCAATCATGATCCATCTAACTAACAATCCACTTATTTGTAAGTGCTGAAATTACTTGTAATTTCAGCACCAGAGAGATTTGAATTTAACTTAGAAATTAGTTGAACTCTCCCGAGTACTTCAGCAGCCGCAATAAACCAGTATACCCTAGATCTATTGAGCCTAGCAGAGACTAGTTAAACAACCTGAGACTAGATAGTATAAGAGTAAGATTAGGATCGGTATTAGACTAAGAAGTTGCACGAATCTATCCGGCCGAAAATAAGATAGCGTGACGAGCAGACGGTGTACCCTATCCGAAATTACTCTATGAGTTATACCCATCGGTCCTAACACATCTGGTGCGACCATAAGTCTCGAACAAGACCTTAATAGCTTAGAATTAACCAATAATAGATTAGAATTTAGACAAAACATTTACAAAATGTTATACGACAATAATTTAATCGAAATGTCTCTACGACTCAATAGATCAGAGCCAATATTCCGAACGATAACAGAACTACCCGGAATTGGAAGAAGACCTCGAACCAGAGACGACATACGACAAAGCAGAAACTTACCATATAATTATATGATAGTTCGGCAAAAGCCAGAACAAACTTTTGTATTTAGAATACTACTAGCAATGAATTTAGATTTTCATTTGCAAACATAAAATTTTGAAGTCAATCTTCAAAATCATTTCAGGCGCTAAACAAAATTATTAATATACAATAACGATTGATAAAAAGATCTCAGATCGTTTTCCTAAATTCTGCAGTAATATACAAATTATGTTTGAAAAATATTTATTGAAAAATCAAAATAAAAATTAGTAGCATGACAATAAACGGTTAGTAATTATAAATCATCCTGTTGTTCCAGCTTCATCACCTAAACATAACAGCATTCATAAGCTCACTAATATCATAAAAATACTAAATCTATTCTTTACACAAATTTAAATCATTTTAAACTTAAATTCACTTAATTTTAAAATCAGATCATCAAGGCTTATCCTTGGATCTTAAATCATTTTCTATTTAATTAAATTTAAAACTTGATCATCAAGGCCTATCCTTGGATCAAAAAGAACAACTTTGTTCTCCCCCACCCACTCCACTAGTGTCTAACGACCTCAAACGTCGATTCACTATCCAACCCTTTCTAAAAACCCAGGACTAATAGAAATTTTTGAACAAAACTAATCATTCAAATTAGGATAAACAGTGAAGAACTTCGGTTATTCATCCTTCACTTGATCCCCCCTCTTACCAGACCCAGGATAAATCTTAAACTTAGTAAGTTTAAAATAGTATCTAACGAACTACTCGCGTTCTAATTATACCTGAACCTTGTGGATCGATTTACTATTCTCCAACCCTGAACACAATCACTACCCTTAAGTAAGATTAAGTAAGTTAACACCTTAGCTTATACTATCCACGAGAAAGTATAAAATCATTCCTCGGAATCGATATACTTTTCTCCCCAACCCTGAACAAATAGACCCAGGTTAGGCTAACAAAAAAATCGTAAGGACTAACAGTTTAAGCAAATAGAAATCATTTAACAACCTTTTGCATCCGTCATCCTAAACCTTATGTCATTTAAAAACCTAGAAAATAAACAAACAATCGTTTTACACAATTGTGAAATAGATAACAAAAAATACGACCTTGTAATCACACCTCATACACAAACAGTTGGATACATTAGAACAAAACGACAAACATTAAAGAGAAAAATAATAACTAAACAAAGACAAATAACACGAAAAAGATTTGCAAAAAATCGAAACGCATTTTCAGAATCAGAAACCAACAGTTTAGATGAACTTTATAAACTAAAAGAATCAATAGATAAAAATTGCCCAATTCACGATCAATTATATTTCTCTGACTCAGAAACAACTTCAAATTCATCAAAAAGAGGAAAAAGAAGAATAAAAAAGCAGTATAAACACAAACCAGTACATTTATACAATTGGAATCAACCAATTAGACACATTGATAATTACATATTAACAGTCATCGAACGAAAAAATGAGCTCAACGCACACCCCAGGTGAAGAAAGTCCACATGATGATGATATCTTCCCCTTTATCGTAGATGCAACCACTGATAGAGGACAGCATATATTTTGCAAAAATTTACTCTTAAATTTGTTTGAACCCGGAATCAGTCCATGTAAAACAGA